TATATATATATATATATATATATATATATATATATATATATATATATATATATACACACACATACATATATATACACATATATACATATATACACATATACATGCATACACATGTGTATGTAAATACAAGTATGCAAATATTCATTTGCATAAATAATAAATCTTTAAAAAATAAGAAAGTGAAGTGATTTAGAAAAGAACTATTGATGGTGGAGATTAAACATTTCCAGGTGGGTTTTATTTATTCTGCCTCAGTTCCAGCTTTTAGCTTAGTCCTATAATGGATATAACTTCAGCTACCTTTAACAAGTCAGTTTTGCAAGAAGGGTTTGGCGGCATATGCCTGCAATCTAAGTGCTTGGGGAAAGGTGAGACAGGAAGGGTCTGGTGAGTTGAGGGCAGCCAGGATTAGAGTGGGACCCTGCCTCAAAACAAAGGGTGGGGGAGGGGCCAGCTCTGTGATAAATCATTTTCTAAGAAGAATAGAAATGTAGCAAGAATAACTTTTGATCATGGTGGACCTGGTATTTGGGGGATGAATGTTGTAGAAATGAAATGGAAGATGGTTTACTTAGGCTTTTGTAATTCTGTGGAATATTTTTAAGAATTACTTTATGCTAGCATGAGAATTCTTTATGCTGGTCTAGTATTTCCTTGGAAGCTTACTTTCTTTCACTCTTTGTGGTTTTAAGCAGGGCAGGTGCTCCAGTTGGTCCAGTTGACTGGCTGCCCTGCTAGTTTGGAAGTAGTACTTCTTGAAGCCCAGCTGTGGCTGCATGTGCTGGCCCTGGCTGCTGCCGCAAGCAACAGTTAGCAGCTTGCTCTGTTTAAAGGCTTGCAGTTGAACGAGCACCATGTAAAGCTCTGGAATGTAAAGGAAATCATAACGGTCTGACTGTAGAAGTACCCAGAAAGCTCAGAAGCCAGGTTTAATTAGGTAGCAGTGCAAAACCATTATCCCCTTCACAAAACATGGGGACAAGGACAGTGAGTGAAAACAATGGGCATTTATCTGACTGGCTGACCAAACCTACCCTGCAAGAGCCCTGCAGTCTGTAGGCAGGGAGCATTTTTTAAACACCCCTAAATGTTCCAGCTTTAAATAGCAACGAGCCTCCTAAACTGATTCTGCGTACTGCTGGAGAAATGAAAGCCGGCTGCCTTGCAGGCAGGAAGCCGACTAGCAAGATGCTTAATTATTGTGGAAGTAAGTGCTTGTTACCGTTGAGTGCAGAATGCAGCGTGCGGTCCTCCTCAGTGTCAGAGCGCGATTTGTAGACAATGCCGCCCTGTCAGCTCAGTGCTGGTTCAGCAGCATCTTTCCAAACATGTATCTGGCAAGAATTTAAAGGCCACCTCTTGTGTAATTTGTGGAATGCTGGAAAAGGATCCTCTGCTCGCTCTTCAGGATGTACGCACCCGGGCAGGATTCTGTGCTCAGCCTCTGTGCTTGCTGCCTCCTGCCTGAGGAGCTCATGAGGAAGTTCGTCCTCCTGCCCGTCTCCTGGAAGGATGGCTACAGTTCTGTGTAATCTGGTGGAGGACATGGAGTGGGCTGCCCGGAGCAGCATTTTGTTTCTGTCGTCGTCGTCGTCATAAATTAGCACTGATGGGGTGGAGGAGGCTGCTCTGCTGAAGGGAATGCAGGCATTTTGTGAATTAGCAGAAGACCTCCATCCCTGAGAGTAGATGAAAGTCAGGAGAGCTTGGGGAAGGTGGCTGCGAGTGCTGGGCTCCGTCTGCAATATTCTTCCTGTGGGTAAGTAAGGAAGTGCAGGGTATGAAGGCTCCAGGAAACGCTGCTTGTCTTCTCTGTGCTCTGTGCATTTGCTCTTATCAACTGTGGTAAGCTTTTGTAGGGAAATATGTATCGACTTGAAATATGGAAGGTATTTTAAAAGTGAGTGTCGTAGCATAATCGATAAAATCTTGTTGATTTTTAGTGTTCTCAGAATGCTGCCTTCCATTGCTCTGATTATCTGGTTAGATTGGTTTTGTCTCAAACTTCTGGTCAGCACAGTGGCGTGATGTCTACCTTATTAGAGGTCATGGGAGCAAAAGTCTGTGCTTCCTCCCAGCTTATGAAACAGTTGAGCTAAACTGAAGTATTCATAGCCCTCCTTTCAATGTAATTGATGGGTTTTATTAACTGTTTTTACTTTTTTCTTTCATATCTGCTTTATTAAAAATGTAGACTTTGGCAGTGTGCACCACAGTCCAACATGGAGTCTCCTTTTTGTGTGTCTGATTTTGGCTGTTGCATGTTTATTTTCAGTGTATATGTCAAGTGCTAATTCAGGTTGTCCTTCTTTCTTCAGGAGAAGCATGGGATTATGGCAACCACAGAAGCTCAGTGATGAAAGTTCTGTTCAGTCTTTTCTGAAGGAAGCCTTCTGTTAGAGTGAAGCACAGGAACTGTTGTGGATTACAATGTGTGAAAGATCTGGATTTTCAGTGGTCTGAAAACACGGCATCATTTAACCTTTTAAATGAAAAGGCTTAAGATCTCAATGCTACTGCTGTATTTTTTGGAAGCCATTCTCTAAAGCAGAAGTGCAGATTTCAAACACAAACATGGCGATCCTTTCTGCAGGGATTTAAGTGATTGCTTTTTACATCATGACCAGCTTGAAGCGGTCGCAGACGGAAAGGCCTGTCACTGCTGACAGAGCCTCTGTTGTCAGCACAGAGGGCACCCCCAAAGTTCACACTGATGACTTCTACATGCGTCGCTTCCGGTCTCAAAATGGCAGCTTAGGATCATCAGTCATGGCTGCAGTAGGGCCCCCACGAAGTGAAGGTCCTCACCATATAACCTCAACCCCCGGGGTCCCCAAGATGGGGGTTAGAGCAAGAATTGCAGATTGGCCCCCAAGAAAGGAAAATGTAAAAGAATCTAGCCGTTCAAGCCAGGAACTAGAAACCTCAAGTTGCCTTGAGAGCCTGTCTTCCAAAGGCAGTCCTGTGAGTCAGGGAAGTTCTGTTAGCCTCAACTCCAATGACTCAGCCATGCTCAAGAGCATACAGAACACCCTGAAGAACAAGACGGGGCCAGCGGAGAACATGGACTCCAGATTCCTCATGCCCGAAGCCTACCCCAGTTCCCCCAGGAAAGCCCTTCGCAGAATCCGGCAGCGCAGCAACAGTGATATCACCATAAGTGAACTTGATGTGGATAGCTTTGATGAATGTATCTCCCCCACCTACAAGTCGGGGCCGTCATTGCACAGGGAATACGGTAGCACATCTTCAATCGACAAGCAGGGAACATCCGGAGAAAGCTTCTTCGATTTGTTAAAGGGCTACAAAGATGACAGATCTGACCGAGGTCCTACTCCAACCAAACTCAGTGACTTTCTTATCACTGGTGGGGGCAAGGGTTCTGGTTTCTCCTTGGATGTGATCGATGGGCCCATCTCACAGAGAGAGAACCTCAGGCTTTTCAAGGAAAGGGAAAAACCACTCAAGCGACGCTCTAAGTCAGAAACTGGAGACTCCTCCATTTTTCGTAAATTACGCAATGCCAAAGGTGAAGAACTCGGGAAGTCATCGGACCTTGAAGACAACAGATCAGAAGACTCCGTGAGGCCCTGGACATGTCCAAAGTGCTTTGCTCACTATGATGTCCAGAGCATATTATTTGACTTGAATGAAGCCATTATGAATAGGCACAATGTGATTAAGAGAAGAAACACCACCACGGGAGCCTCAGCGGCTGCCGTGGCCTCCTTGGTCTCGGGACCTTTGTCTCACTCAGCCAGCTTCAGCTCTCCTATGGGAAGCACAGAGGACCTCAATTCCAAAGGAAGCCTTGGCATGGACCAAGGAGATGACAAAAGCAATGAACTCGTCATGAGCTGTCCATATTTTCGGAATGAGATCGGTGGAGAAGGTGAGAGGAAGATCAGCCTGTCTAAGTCAAATTCTGGCTCCTTTAGTGGGTGTGAAAGTGCCTCCTTCGAGTCCACCCTGAGCACTCATTGCACGAATGCAGGAGTGGCGGTTCTGGAAGTGCCCAAGGAAAGCTTGGTGTTGCATCTAGACAGAGTGAAGCGGTACACCGTGGAGCACGTGGATCTCGGAGCATACTATTATAGGAAGTTCTTCTACCAGAAAGGTGAGTAGCTATTTTTTTTTTTTTTTTTTTTTTGCTCTACTCATGGAAAAAAAAAAATTACACTACTTTCCTGACACTTTTAGTGGTGTGACATGAGCTGTGCTTGTGAATTCTTTGTCTTGATGGTGAAATGTTTCAATGGCTCTTTGTTATGATTTATTTATCTGCATTTTGGAGGTATTTCTTTTTCCCCTTTGGATATGGAAATGTCTTAAAATTAAATATTAGGAATTTTTTAAAAGTTAAAATCTGATTTAGCGAGTGAAATTAAAGTGTTTTGTTGACTTGCTCTGACATATTTAGGGACAGATATGTAAAGTTGAAACTCTGTTAGATACAGCTTTTTTTTATATACAAAACAATTTTAATGCTCTCTTCCAATTTTTAGCACTTTTCTTTGCCTCCTGAGTCTTTTTATCAAAGTTTTAATATATTCCTGCCCTTTCACAAGACCTGTAATAAAAACAAATTTCAGTATTTGATTAAAATCTCAGAGCCAATGAGTCTCAGGCAAGACTTGAGTGTAGGCCTTCAATTTGAGTAGAAAAGCTACTAAAGATGGAGATGTGCCTTTATTACTTAATGTGTTGTGCTTTCTCAGGTCTTGGAGGTGGTAGGCTGTGTGTGTGTGTGTGTGTGTGTGTGTGTGTGTCTGTGTGTCTGTGTGTGTCTGTGTGTGTGTGCCTGTGTGTGCGTCTGTGTGTCTGTGTCTGATATTGTACAGTCTTATTTTTACTTTTAAGAAAAGCACAGTGATTTTTTGAAAAGCAATGTAAATAGACTATCAGTTTTCTAGTGTTTTTTGAACAGCATTAAAACTGAGGACTTTGTCACGCAGGCACTCAACTAGCAGCATGCTGGTTACCATATACTGTGGTCTCCTGGTAGATCAGCATCTCTACAGCTAGGTGAAGAGACTGCCTGGGAGGCTTCTTGCTTTGCACCTTCTCCAGTGAGGTTGTGATTACCTGCTTCTGTTGCAGTGTTTGTTACTTACTTTTATTTTCCTTCTGGCTTTGTGAGATTGCTTACTCTAGAATCTCATGTGCTTAAAATTATTGGATGGTAGGCCATATTGCAGGTTTACTGGTAAAAGAATTGTGTCTCATCACTAAACACTCAGGTCTCTTTTCCCTAAGTACCTTCAGCACGGCTTCTGGAATCAATAGAATGAAAATCCCAGCTTTATTTTTAAAATGATTTTTCTAGAGTGCAGGTTTTAAAAATGGTCTTTCTCTTGCGTGTGGGAGCAGAAAGTTTCTCAAACTAACTTTGTGTTTGGGGATGACTGTTCTTTATAAAGATGGACACTGCTCTGTCCTCTGTAAGACTGGCATCCTTGGCCTCCGATCTTAGAGGTTGATAGGTTTTCTAGGTGCCCCTACCCACCAGTGAACATTAACTAAAATATAACTGATACTGCCAAATGTTTCTTTGGGGGTGAATTTCCTCTAACCAAGAACTTCTGCTGTATATTGCCTCAGAATTTTTTCAAGCTTTCTTGAGGTGGTGCTCACGTGTCTCTGAGAAGCCACCTTGCTCCTCCTGTCATTGCCTGTAACTGAGTTTGACATACAAGTGAACATACTTTATTTGCGCATTAGTATTTTTTTCTCATTGTGCAGTGTAATAATATCCATCATGAACAGTTTTCAGCATGTGTGGACCATGCACTATGCTAAGTCTTTGATATGATAGTTTTTATTTCTAACTCTTAATACCCGTGAGGGACATGATTTGTTGCTAATCTTGTTTTCCAGAGGAGAGTACTGGGGGTTAGGCGATAGACTGTCATGGAGCTCCTTTGTGCTGTGAGGGAACAGCCATGTTCTCTCATTTCTATTCTCCAAGATGAAAGGAGAGGGGAACCTCCTTTTAAGTGTTTTTATCTTTCAAAAGTTTGGAATCAAAATGTGAATACCTAGAGTCTAAAGCAAGTCAACTCACTGGTTCATAGACTCTCATAAACTCAAAAGACCCCCATCTAGCATTTTGGTGGGTTAGAGCACAGAAAATACCCTGGTTCCAACCAGTATAAGTATCACTGATTAATTGGAAATACTTTAAAGCAGGGAATGGTTAAAATAAAATACCTATCTGAGATATTTAAGACATAAATAGACATTGCTTCTTTTGGTCCAAGTGCATTTCTGACAATGATTCTGCTTTCAGTTCTGCCTTGTGTCACTGGTGTGAACTTGTAGTGTCCTTTGTGCTGAATCTGCTTTGTAATTCCCTCTCAGCTGCCTGGTTGACACATCTGACCCTCAGCCTTCTTCGTGACTTACCTCTGGGTAGTCTTTCTAAAGCCCTCAGTTTCGTTTTCATAGAAACTGTATCAGTCTTTTCTGTTCATCTAGTCAGCCTCAATAATTAAGCTGCATAATTAAAATAAGTCAGTTGGCCTCAGCAGCTCTAGGAAGATGCAGTGAATTTTGTTGCCAGCATGAAGCCCAGCTGGTGGGAGCAGAAAGCGTGTGTGGCATGAGGGACGGTCAGCTCGTGCCACTGGCACCTGTCAGCCTGGTGTCGGAAACAGTGAAAAGTGGCTAATCCAGGAGGCCAATCCAAGGAAAGTCATGGAGCCTGTGTTTGGGATGCACACGTTGGAAGTTTTTAGTTGTTGATAACATATTGATGATGTCTCACAAATGATGGCTGAGTAATAACATGAAGCAGAAATCAAACTCCTCAACAGCATACTATATATGTAAAGTTAGTATGACTGTGTAAATATAATTAAAAACAATTCTATTTTGTAATTTTTACATTAGCTTCGGGTCAGTGAGCTCTGCCTACCTCTTACCTCTTTCCCTTCATCTCTTTGTGAAAAGAGTGTACTGCAGTGAAGAGGAGCTGACCCCAGCAGCAAGGCAGTAGCACCCTGAGAATGGCTGTCACCTCACCCCCTCAGGTCCTCTGTGCATTCAGCGTTTAATGTGTCCTACACTCTACTGTAGCTGTCTCTGGGGAAATTAATAATTACCACTATTGTTATTTATTTTTATGTTATGGTAGACGTGATCTATTATTCATGTTATTATTTTCTTTGCTGAAGCCCAGCCTTCAGCAGCATCATGTGTAATATTTAATCATGTGGTGAAGCTGTAATCACTTTGATATTGCGTTGTCTTTATAACATGAGAGCTGAGTCCCTGGACAAACTGGACAGAGAGGACCCTCCCTTTGGATTAGGCACAACAGCATCCACACTCTTCCTTCTGCTCCTTCCTCTGTCGTCTCTTGTTTTCACCCAGCATGAACTGGCAGTAATGATGTAGTTGACATATACAGTGTTTCTGTTTCATGTTTTTATGTGGTCTCCTCACTTAATGCTTTTTGGACACTGGCATGAACCTGTCAGTGGAAACAGTGTTCACATGATGGTGCCTTTCTCAGGGCAGCAGAGTAGCATTAGTTCAACTCCTAAGAATGTTTTCTTTGAGACCATTCATAGTTTTGTGTTCAGGTTTTCTGTGGTCACTACAGTCAAAGTGCCAAGGAGACATACAAATGGCAAATGCAAGGCTGGATAAACTGACCCCACTGTTGCCTGCAGCCAGCATGGCTTGGAGGAAATGGCTCCTTCCCAGTCGTTACCTGTGTTATGTGGCCCCATGGTGTGTTGCAGGTTTTCTTTGAGTATATAATTCAGGTGTATGTTTTCTGGAATTCCACTAATGGAAGAGAGGTGTGCATGGGTTGCTTTGGTGGTAGTATTTATTGAGACAATGATTAAAAGTGTTAGTAGGAGAGATAGACAGGTGGGGGGTGGGGGTATAGGTGTTAGGTGGGCATTGCTTGGTGACAAGTTATAAAGGTGCTCTGATAAGGCACAGTCCCCTGTTGCTCATTGGCCAGGAGAAACTGCCATTGTAGGCCAACGGATAGAAAACAAGTAACTGAGAAATTTGATAACTCTAAGCCAGTGATTTTATTGTTCTCACCTTCTTCCAACAACATACATGTGCACATGTACTCACACACGAACGTGCGTTCACACATGTGCTTGCTCATGCACACACCCATGATAGTCACTTTGAGGAAACAATTTAGATTTCAATTGCTCCTGGAAAGGCTGGTTGCCCAGTTCTCTCTTTCCATCTTGTAGTCAGCCATCTTTAACAGCCACTCTTTAGAACATAGCACGTAGCTTCTGCAGTTATGTATTGTTTTGTTATCAAAAACTTTTTTTAAAATGCCCCAGTCTATTAAATGAATATCATTCGGTCAGAAAGAAAGCGAAGCGAAAAAAGGATACTGAGAGCCAAAGGCCATGCCAGCTTCACAGCTTCCAGCTAACCTCCATAGTGGATGGCTAAAGGCACCCTGCTAAGGAATAGCTTACACCAAAATACATGCATTCCCCTAGATCCTTTAAGGATGTTTTTCCCTCAAGAGTTCTATGTACACGCATGTACTTTATGGATAGGGCAGGTCCCCTGCTTATCTGATGCCCTTCATAAGGAGCTGTCCTTGCCCTGGCTCTGCAGTGCCCTCTTTGCATGAAGCCTTTGTGCTTGCCAACAGCTGGTAGATGGTTGCTCTAGTTCTTTGCGTGGCGTGAGATCTTTCATTGTTTCTGAAGTTAGGAAGGACAGGTGTGCCTGCATGGCTCTGGCCAACGTGAGCAGGCCTCACAAGTTAAGGAAGGTGGGAGCCGTGGATCCTATTTCAGTAGTTTAAGAATTCTAGTTATTGGTTAGTTAGTCCCCAGTTCAGCATTTAAAGTCTGAGACGCAATTCTGTTTAGGCAGAAGCAAGCACCTGGGAGACCTCATCAAGAATGCCTTGGACCAGAAAGAAAGGAGAGTCCAAGGAACAAACCCATAGCCATGTGTATTCCTAAGTCTGCTTATGTGATTGAGAAAAGTACTATGTATTGGATGCCTTACTGTCAAGGGTTCTTTCTCTATACTTTGTGTTTAATTTTCTGAGGTAGATCATTTCATTTTCAGGTATAGCCAACAAGACTGTGTTCCCAAGCATGCTGTGCTCTT